CAAAGAGCAGACCACCCAAGTAAAACTCCATTCTTAAGAAAATTGAGCTCCTGAAACCAGAACAAACTATTAAATACAAGCTTGCCAATGATGATGATTTAGAATGGAGAAAATTGAATATCTTAAGTAAGGCAGGCAAAGCAACAGGCAGAAACAAACAATAAATGTAGTTACAGATCAACCTTTTGGTTGGACTTTGAGCATGGAGTATCAGAATGGAAAGCGAGGTTGAGCAAACAAGAGAAAATGAAAACACTTCTTGCAATGAGGAAAATATAATGATTTCCTCCTCAAGAAAGAAGGAGCTCCTAAGTTGGGTTGAAAATAAAGTTTATGTACAAATTCATGTCTGTCAATCAAAGACATCCCAAAGATGGGCTTATACTTATAAAAACCATGTTTCTACAGAGTAAACATTTAGACCAATTGGTTTATTTGGAAGCTCTCTAGATGTGTATATAGTCTGACAGATGCTTCAAGATCCTGGTACCTGACAATCAAGTATGAATTAATTTAATTAGGAGCAGAGTTTCAAATTCTGGCCAGGCACTATAGCTATGTTGAGAGAAATGATACTGAAGAAATTGCCTAAATCTCTTGGATACCAACTGATGCACAAACTGTGGACTCACTGACAAAGAAACGAGTACCATCATTTAAGATTCTTGGATTCCAATCAGAGCAGAAGGAATCCTCTGTGTAAAGAATCTATATTGTCTTATAACTTTTTTGCAGATAGATATATATATATATATATATATATATATATATATATATATATATATATATATATGCACACACAATGCTGAAAAAGAAAAAAAAAAAAAGGAAAGAACTCTTAATCTTCACAAGTTTATCTCCTTGGCAACTCTTCAAACGAAAAGGGGTGGCTTACCCAGAAGTGGTTGAGCAGCCATTTTAGATAGGATACACATGTGGAGAATGAAGGACTTTGAATAAAACATTCTTTCCATTACGTGTCCAAGTTTCTTTTTTTTGAATTCACAACCAGGATTCAGAAAACTACTTGTCTAATCATGAAAATTTGCCTTTGCCACTTGCTAAATATTAAAAAAATGTGTTGAGTGTTCCAACATTCCACAATACTAACAGGATTAAAAATACTTTTTCAAATTTTCTTTTTGTTTTTAAATCATTTCATCACAAAAGACAATGTTACTAAGATTCAAGGAGTTACTGAGTGTGAGAGAATATGAGAAAAGGAAAACATTATTAAAGAGAGAGGACAATAAAAGAACAGGGATTAAGATAGCAATTGACATTGCATTTAAATTTTTGAAGATCAAAGCTGACTAGGAAGCCGGCCAGAAAAGCGTTCCACAAGAAGTGTGAAAGAAGAACATGTTCACATAGGAATTAGGTTTACCTATAGACATTCCAACTGTAAAATGATGAGACCTTGCTGCCAATTTAGTAATTTGCTTAAATTCATAGTCCAAAAAGTACCAAAGAGGTAGGTTCATCAGAACAATTACCATTAAAATGTTTATAGAAATGGCATAGAGAAGCTATGTTGTAGCAGTGAGAAACTATACTGATGGAAAGCAAAAAAAAAGGTTCTTTCAAACAATTAAAGAAGAGTGGTTTCATTTTGAAGTTAAAATTAACAAGCCATTTCTTGCCCTAGTTAACAACAGATTGTAGGTAATTTTGTTTTGTTTAGATCAGCTGCCAATTTGACTTCATTGAACTGATCAGACATACTATTAAGACAGGATTAAATAGTTGTGACATCAGCATAGATACAGAGTTGACAACTGATTACATTAATATCATCATCATTCTGGGGGATCAGTTTATTACTTAACAGAAGAAAACTGATCCTCCATTTTAAAGTCCAGTAGAATATAATATTACTTTGCAGTCATATGCTTGTAATTCACACAAATATTATGACAAAAACCAGAAACTCTGTTGTTACTTGACAGAAGGATTCAGAAAACTTCTTGTCTAATCTTGAAAATTTGATTTGCGACTTGTTAAGAAAAAGAAATGCGTTTTCAGACACCCCACTATATTAACCAAGGGTTGATTATAAGTCTTTAAACAACTGTTTCATAGCTTAGTGATTATAGAATTGACTTTGGAAAATATCAACAGATTGTAGATTTATTATGCACTACCTAAAGTTACTTTAGTTTTTATGATTGCTTCCAATTTTGTTCATACAAAGTTGTAAATTAATTGAACAAGTTTCATTGATCTTATCAGAAACTGACTGCTTGGATTTCTTTACTATATGTAGCTGTTTTGGGGTGGGTGCAAGTACTGATAGGGATCTTATAATTCAATCTGCACTAGCTATGTGGTTACCACCATATTTTGAAGGAAAAAACAAAACTAGTTGCTGTACCCTTGCTTAGAAAAGCTTTACAGCAATTGTACCTACACTCGAGTTCTGGTTAGGCAGTGCACAAAGTAGGTTGTAACACATTGGTCACCTTTGAATTTCTCATTTATTCAACAATTTTTTTTTTTTTATATTATCATATATCAATGTGAAGCCTTTGTTTTTTCTTTCAGTATTTCACAGTGTTTGTAGAGACAAAAATAAATTCACTTTCCAAGCATCAGTCGATTTTTAGAGTTGTCTTTAATGGAGGAAAACCTTGGGAGCAGTAACACTATGTTTGAAATATAAATATCACCACATATTTCAAAGTCTAATGGTATTAACAAAGAGAAAATTCTAATTTCTAAATCTGGAAACTTCTATAGGATATAAAAAAAAGAAGTAGATACACATAGCATGGAATTTTCTAAATGTTTTCAACCTGCTTTCATGCACTATCCTGCGGTCCGAACTGAAAGTCACCGCCTTGTATTTTGTATTTTTCAGCATGCCCATGTCACTACTGAATGTGACACAAGGTCAAAGTTTACAGTGACTTTACCAACAATACCATGGAAAAATTGCCCAAACCCCCTCAGCACTTCCTCTTTTGGTGATGCCTCAGGTGCCGAGCAATAAACCCAGCCCCCTCCTGAAGATGAGATACTGCCTGAGGAGAAAGCGCCTGGAGATTGGGCTTAGAATTTTTGACTGTTTTGTATTTCCACAGATGTATCCACTTTAGAAAACTAACCTTAACTAAGAATGTAAAGTTCATGGTAGAATAGATTTCTAAATGTTAATTTAATCTGAAGAAGGAGCACAACATGTTACAAGTGAGAGGATTAAGTGATTATCCTCAGTTATAATCTCCAGAGATGAAATGCAATCTCCAGAAATTCACATTGGTTTGTACAGGTAAGATACTCAAACAGAATTGAAATATAGTCTTGAACAGTTTAAGACATTTTGAAGAGCTTGTATGCTTAATCAAATTTATTTAGTCTTCACATGAAATTGCACGGAATTAAAAAGATTAATCTCGGATAATCCTGATTTGATTGCTTTAATGTGTACATTTGTTTGTATTTCCATTTCATTTGATATGCATGTCAGAATATTTTCTTTCTGTTAATGTTTTAAATTGAAAGCAAGACTAAATATGAATTGTAAGAAAACAGAATGCATGGTTGTTTTTAATCGGTACCCCCCCCCCAGCAAGGCAGCAAAGACACTAAAACACAATTGGTTACTGGGTGTGGAAGAATTAGGAATAGAAGCATTAATAATAAGTGGGAAAAGGAAAGAGTAATCAGGAGGACAATAGATAGCAATGGACTTTGCATGTAAATTTTTGCAGATTAAAGTTGGCTGGAAGAGAGTTCCATAAGCGAAAAAAGAAACTGTTAGCATAGAATTTACAGTTACATCTCGCCAGCTCAATGGATGAGATCTTGATGCCAGACTAGTACTGTGCTTAAATTCAAAATGTCTAGGTACCATAATGAAGAGCTCATCCGAACAATTACCATGTAAGTATTTATAGAAAAGAGACAGTGGCAACCTTACAGCAGTGGAAAAGATCAGGTCCAACAGTATTGCAGATTCTTCTTTGGATTTTATCAAGGAGCTCAAGGTAAATAGCAAGGGCACTGGACCATATGTGACAGTAATATTCTAATCATGGACAAATGGTAGACTTATAGATATGTAAGATAGATTCTGGAGAGAAAAATTGTCTTGTACAACACAATTTTGTTAGCAAGAGGAACATCACAAGATGCTAGTGGTGCATTAGAGATGACAAAATCAAAACAAGTACAGTTCCTGGAAGTATTTTAAGAAATAAGAGGAAATGTAACACATCCAAAGATACAGTGGAATAGTTAAAGATCCCTTTCAGAAACTAAGCAAAGTATTAAGAAACAGGAGAATTTAATTAGAAACAAAAAAGAGAGTGCAGAACTGCTATGTAATATCAATCCCCCTATGATGTGAATGCTAGGCAATTTCTTTCTAGATGAAGATGAGATTTGAGGCAAAAGTTATATAAAACAGAATGATACCAAGAAGACCATGGACTGAACATGTGAGCATTGAGGAAGTGTTAAGGAAAATGCAAACAAAAAGAACATTTGTTTCTAGAATCAGAAAGACTTGAAATTTCTGACACATAAAGAGGGCTTGGAGAATATGACACTCACAGGACATGTTTAAGAGGGATAGACATCAAGTCACCTGCCAAACGAGTTTATGTAAATGAATGACAGAACAAGTATAAAGTGGGTGCAGATAGTAAGGGAATAAATATTATTTACAGCTACAAAGTCATGGGAAGCCATGATCACAGAGATATATCCTAAAGGTTGAGTCCTTAATTTGTTTTCTATGGCTTATCAACCTTTTTTTCAGGTTATTTAAAGCCAGAAAATATAGATTATAAGAATTTGGGTGGGAGAAGATGATAATAGATTAGTGATACAAGTCTTACTAATTAACCCATAGCTGGAGGGAGAAGAGATGGAGTCATACCTTTCCCAAGGTGTATTTGTGTGCAAGTGAATATAACAAACCCAACTGGAATTGAAACTCGGCTCATCGATTAACAGTTCCGAGTCAATTACATTACACCACTCACACATTCAAGCTTACAGCACCTGGTATTCCCAAGTGGTCATTAATCTAGGTACTGATTGGGCTCAATGTTGCTTAACTTCAGTGATCATACAGAAACTGATGTTTTACTGTGATGTGGCCATAGGCTGAATTCAGAGTTAGTCCTTTCTTCTTGCTTTCCTTGTGCCTTCCACCAATTGAATGGTATTACAATTCATCATAAAAATTACTTCAAAATTTCAAACATTACATCTATCAAATCTGCTTCTATCGGATTTAAATTTCCTACGAAAAGGTAAAAACCATAAAATGTAAGATTTTAATCCTAACTAAATATGAAAAAGATTAAAATTCCAAAACTGAAATGATTCCTTTTCTTTATTATCTATGAATTGCTATGAATTCTTGGGAAAGATAGTGGAGAGGTCTCTTATTGCCTTCCCCAGTTTTGACTTCAGAGTAGTTCTTCTCTTAGACTGGCTTCCATCCAAGATTAAAGAGTTCAGTCTATCCTGCTATTTAACCCAAAATTGGGGGAAGAGTTAATTCTATGCCTTTCCTAAGAGCATGCAACAGATTTGTGGGTTACACCACTTTGCTTTGCCAAAAAATGCTCATTAGGGTGCACACTTTAAGGCTATAAAAAGGCAAGCATGTACTTTCTTTTGTTCTCTCTTAACTCTTGCTTCCAGATGTAGATGAACATAGAAAAAAGAATGCTGCCAGCAGGCACTATTCCTTTCCTTGGTCCTCTGTTGACTTAACTCTCTCATACATGTTCATTTTACACACACAAACAAGTATATACTCATAGCTAGTTTTAATGTCTTTTCCTTTTATTTCAGTTATGTAAACACAGTTACTTTTGTTAAATGATGCATTAATTGCAGTTTCTTTCAAATTCATTTTTTTTTTTATGTCCTTGTTTTTATCTGGACTCACATGACTCTACCAATATAGTTTGCGGGACAAATGTTCCAGAAGCCCACATTTAATATACAAACAATATACAGGGTGGTCCGAAAGTCTTATCACCCTCTACCAAAAAGTAACAATAGAAGAACAAGTAATACAAAGCATATGTACTGGATTCAGTTTATTCACTTTCAATGACTGTCACACATCAAGAAGGAACGTCATTTTCGTGGCACAAAATGATGTGGTGCTATCTTCAGCATGACACTTTACAAAGCTGTGTTTTGTTGCAAAGGCTCTCCTTCAGATGATGGGTATTATGGTATCATTCATTTGAAACTAACTCCTTGATAATATCCCCCACAGACTATTAAAATAGAAAATTATATTATTAAGGGTGACAAGACTTTCGGACCATATTGTACACACTCATATCAAAAGTGTTGATATATTTTTACCCAAAATATAAAATCCTGCAACAGACTAACCTGAAATTTGAATTTGTCTCACAAATTTCACAGTGAAATGTTATGTAAGCACATAATTAAAAGCTGAATGAACAAATACTTAATGCCAACAAATTTTCAGAGGTTGAATTCTAAATGGTAAAAATAGGGTTTTATTCCCAGAGTGTAACAAAAAGAAAAAAGATTCTTTAAACTGTGTATATTTTCAAGGTTGTTTAAATACAAAGAAAATATTAAATTTTAAATATTTGACCAAGAAGTTCTGCTTTGAGAAATACAATGTTCTTTCTAGAAATTTGATTATTTGAGATTATTTCACATGAAAGAAACAGTATGTAAAAAAGATGTGCTTCACCAAAAAATAGCAAAATCCCAAACTAGCACAAATCCCCGCCCCAAAAAATCAAAGATTCAAATAAAACACATCAGTAGAATCATCTACATCTATCATACATAAATGATGATGCCAATGTTTCAAAAACAAGAATTTCTATATTCTTGAGATGAACACAAAGAATTAGAGGAAAATTTGCAGAAACAAATAAGCATAAGATTGTAAAAAAAAAAAAAAAAAAAAAAAAAGAAAATAAGTTGGAAAATAAGTTGGAAAATGTTTGCCAAATATAAATTGAATTTCTGAATTTTAAAGTTTTTAAATTAATAAATTTTTGAATCAAGTGTTAACTTTCAGTATCTATGAAGCGGGATGAAAATGTCTCAACCCACTTTCTAAAAACTCAACAAAAGGACCAAATGTACTTTTTCTTTTTTGTGAAGTGAGGAAGACTTCAGCATCTATATTTATTCATTGATTACTCAAGCTATATAAAAAGGACATTTTATTTTTTTTATTTAAAAAAAAAAAAAAAAAAAAGTTTTTTTAACTCAAAGTAACCTGCCTATTTATGTAATTTTGATATTTCAATAACTCTTTATCTAACTTGAGAGAATTTCTAATGTTAAAAGGTAACACTCTAATTTAAACTGATTAATGATTTTTTCCAGAAATTAATCTGATAAAAAAAAAAACCCAAAAAACAAACATAACTGATTTCTTTTTAGCAACTTAACTTTATGCTAAAATATATCATAGAGTTACTGTATATAAAATTAAAAAATACTATTGATGTTAATTAGAAAGTGCTATTTTTTTTAATTCTTTTTTTAGCATTGATTTTGCTTTGTCTAAGAAATATCCCAAAATACTAGACTGCTCTATTTTTAGAAGAATTTTTAAAAGATCCATTTTCATTAATAACATATTAGCATATATGGAAGCCCCTTTGCTTAATTTAAAAAAAAACCTTCACTGGAGATGAGTCAAGAAGACAGTTCCGATTCATGAAAAATCTAATAAATGAAAATATTTCCAATATTTTGCTATTTCTATGTGTCGTATCCATTCAATATGATTGCAATCATGGCTCTCCACAATTTCCTGTCCTTTGAGGCTCTTAAAAATTTTGTCTTTTTGCTATCTAAACTAATTCCTGTTCTGCCAACTGTTTACAAAAGCTTATTAGGTAGGTTATGCACTGTTTTCCTCTTTCCCCACAATATGTCCTGTGAGTATCAAATTTTCTGAGCCCTCTTTCCTCATTATGTGCCCTTCAAGGTTTTCTTTCTGATGTTAAGTACAAGTGTCTTTTTTTTTTTTCATTTCCTCTAAAACTTTGTTGGTTTTGGTTCATTTTCTTTTATGGCATATCAACCTCAATAGGTTATTTAATGCAGACAAAATTTTCATTGTTGGTAATATTTTTTCCCCAAAGTCTATTTCTGGTAATATTTTTCCTTCACTGGTATTTTTTTTTTTTTTTTTTTTTTTTAAAAAAAATTGCTGGTGACATTTTTTTTTTTCTTTTTTTTACAAAGTATTTCTGGTATTAAAACCTATTTTTACACTTTCATCGTGTTTTGACTCCAGTTTGGGGGTTAACTATTTGCCCATAGCTGGGACCCTAACAGGTGCTACCAACCCGGGTCAGGGTGGACCTGGGAATGCAAGCAACTAAGAGGTGGTTCCACGCTTCTCAAAACCTCCTGATCAAAGGCTTTGCTGTTGAATGTAGTTTATTGTCATACGCAGGACGGCTAAAACTTTGTCATTGCTCACATGTTCAGTACATGTCATTTTCCGCATCCTTCTGTAGAAGCACAATTCTGTTGTCTAAAGTTGACTCTTCATCTGTGAGGAGATTGTCCAGCATAGGACTAATATTAGACAACAGTTTAATGCTTTTTTTCTTTGTTTCTGTTGCTTAAAGTCTCTTCTTCATCTACGAGGAGATTGTCCAGCATTCACCGTCACATAGGAGGCTCCATATTACTTAACAGTTCAGTAATTTTTTTCTTTATTTCTGACAAAGTTTTCCTGTTTCTTAATATTTTGGTTAGCTTTTGGAAGGTATCTTTCACTATCTGTGTGTGCCTTTGGATTTGGGTGCTGCATTTTCCATCTGTTAAAACACTTCCTCGATATTTAAATTTTAAAAAATTACTGGAAAGTCTCTTCTAGATTGAAAGGTGTTTTACTAATTCTAACAGACAACCTTCTCATTTTTCTTATTCAATTGTGTAATCCAACAATTTAAGATAGCAAAGTAATATAGTGGATAAAAGGGTTTCATTGAAGAGATACTGAAAAGTACCTTAGCCCAACCCACATCTCAAAATCAAACTAAAAAAAAAAAAAATCAGAATTTGGAAGAAATTTTTTCTTGGTTGGGCTTATAAATTTTTGGCACCACCTATTATTTTTAATACAGGTAAGTGCCTATGAATAGCAGTAGTTGGGGTCCAAAACTTCCATCCGCAGTTTAGATGGTCCATGGCTTAGGTCAAAAGTGAACTGCTTAGACCACCAAAACAAAGCTTGTCAATTCCATTGAGTTATCTGTGAAAATGGGTAACACAGTCAGTGGCTTAGCATGCAAAATGCGTATTCAATACTAAGAGTTGAATATTGGCAGTTTTGAAAAACATTTATTAAAACTATCCTTCACATAAAAATCTGCACCAATACGAATACGTTTGAAAGACGACAGCCTAAAATGATTTCAATTATAAAGCGCCATGTCAAAAGATTAATCATCAATGATAGCAAAAGATGGCAGAAATGTCATACTCATGAGATTTTAACAAGAAAAAAAAAAGAATTAACTTTTTATAGTTTTATTAAGATTATGAATAAAAACATTACAATACATTGTATTGTAATGTGTTAATAAAAAATAATATAACAAAGTGCTAATCCAAACTACTACAGAATCACGAGTGTGAAATGCCAAAGACTAAACAATAGTAAATGCCTGGAAAAATACAGATATACTATAAAGGTATTAAAACTCAATTTAATGAATTTATTAAAATAAAAAATTATACAGAGTAAAGACAAAAAAATCAGACTTTAGAAAGTGTCACAATCAAGTTTGAATTTGTTTCAAATTCGGATCCACTGAGGATTAGAATTCTAATATGAACATGACAAAAAATTTTCGGATCCACTGCACATGCACAGCTTAAATGACATTGTGGTTTATTAGTACGTGGCTTAATGGCACTGACCTGGATATGAGATTGTCATTTATTCATGTTTGCATATTTTTAATGTAGTTTGTTGTTTTTATCCTTCATACTCCTTCATAAATTGTCAGTCATATAATTTTATGCACATTTTTTTTTTAATTTCTGATCTCAAGATGCCAACCTGGAAAAAGCATTTTTTATTTTATTTTGGGTCAGCCATATATCTATATCAA